ATTTATATGTATGTATGTATGTATGTATGAATTTTTCGTTTTTCTTGAGAGCAGGACACAGCCCTTTAATCGTTATTTTAAATTGTTCTTAAATGTCAAGTTTTACATAATTTTAAAATAAAAATATATTTTTATTTAATTTCTACTAATGAAATTTTCATTTAATATTCAGAGTTTCGAAACACGTTAGCTTTTTTTGCTCAGAAATCCACATTTAAATCATGATACAAAAATAGAAGGTAGTTTCATTTATTGACATTCGTTGTTGTTGCCGACCACGTGACTTTTAACAAGTTTGTGACATTTAACTAAAATCATGCTACCAGATTCACTAGCAGCAACATTTTTGTTTCTTGAAAAAGGATAAAAAAACGTTTGAAGTACGTTGAAAAGCTCGAAAATAAACACCCCTATTCTGCAACTCTTTCGTATTCGGATTTTGCTACGAATCGTAGAAAGACTATGCTGCAATCCGAATCGTATTTTCGAACTTTCGAAATTCGTTACAATGGCATGCCTAAAAACGAACAAGTACGTCTTTTGTGTAATTTTGTACGAAAACAATTCTGTGTCGGAGGTGTGTTTGCAGGAAATACTAGCGGTGTTCATTTAAACAGATAAATTTGCGTTTCCCATATACGTACAATTTTATCCACTGCTTTATATAAAGGAGCAAAAAAGAATCTTTGTTGCCCCTTATCGAGAAACTTGGGTCCGGTTTAGTTATTTGTACAATGATATTCGGTTGTTGTGTCCAAGCGTATAACCCGAATCCAAAAACTTTAACATCACGTTTAATCAAAGGACTAAAATTTTATTTAAAATAAATGTTTCCAATTTCCGAGTACTAGCTTATTAATAAATTCGGTTTGAACTATGCACTTTTTTGCAAATTTCGACGTGGGTTCTGCGCAAAAATACTGTGGATGGCGTAGTCGGAGTGATATTCACAAGAAGTGTTGTATACCTTTGACATGCGGAAGCGCCTCTTCTCCGGCAACACAGAAAGGAGAATCCTACTTAGTAAGAGTTATAATCCCTAAGCGCGGCTGAAGGCAGAAGCAAATGCAACAGGTGGTGGACCTACCAAAGTGCATGTTTTCAATGGCTTGGAAGAAGCTGTTATTGCATTAACTGGATTGAGAACCAGTTCTTCAGGCATAGGAGTAGTTCTGGCTTGTAGATGACAGGGACATAGATGCGCCCATGGTTACTATGCTTGACAGCACTTCATGAGTGTTTTTTTTAAATTCCTTTCCACTTTGTTTTCCTTCATTTAGCTATCTTCGAAAAACAACTGATAGCTGGCAATGCTGCACATGTTTCCGCAATGGTTGCAGCATGTGGATTTTTCATTTTTGGTAGCGTAGTTAAGAATTACGAAATACGAAAATTAGGGTTCTAGAATAAGGGGGAAAGTCTTTTGCTAATGCAGTTTGATGACAAATTTCTGAATATTTTTAAACCTCTAAACGAGGTACCGTTATCCGTGGAAGAGAAAGGAGGTTGAGTTAAAATGATGCCATGCAACTTGGACTTTTTGGATTCTCGGAATTTTCTGATAAAGATGTGGTGCTGCTTAAAAATATGTATATATGCATGCACATAAGATGAAAAGTACTGCAGTTTCATTTTCTAAAATTTTTATTTATAGAAAAATGCATAGTAAAAGACAATTCGAAGACGGTTCGGTTATTTGTTAAATGATTTTGGGTTATCGTGTCCAAACGCGTGACCCGAATCAAAAAATTTTGACACATGCCGCTAGTCAGAGGATTAAGCTTTAATTTAAAACAAAGATTTCGGTTTGCATTTTTTTGTAAATTTGGAGATGGATTTTACGCAAAAATACTGTGGATTGTGAAAATGATAATTTTACTCTATTTCGAAATGGGCCCCGAGTGTCTGTAGAAAAGGCAGGGAGGCGAAGAATGACTTATCTGCAAGTTTATACTGCGCTCTTTCTAATGACTGGAGTTTTAGGTGCCACACTTCCCCCTCCGCTTCCTCCGAAATATCATTGCACAAATAACCGAACATTTCCCACGCAGAACAATTAAATCCTCTGATGTATTGTTTGATTCCTGTCAATGTGGCAAGGTAGCTCATAATTTTGTACAATTTATGAAACTTCAAAAACTTATTTTTTGTAAAATATTTTGGAATGAAACTACCTTCTTTTTGTATCATGCATTTAAATTATAAAAAAAAATATATTTAAATACATAAAATATTTTACCAACTTTTCTCTTTCTTAGGGCCGTCAACTTTTTTTTATGATTTATGTTTCTATGCTGTTTAGCTCGAAAAGTATCGTGCATTACCATCAACACATTCTCATTTTTGTGTAACATAACTAAACATTCTCATTTTAAGACTTTTTTTCCCTTTTTGGCTAGCACTGCTGTAAAGGCATACATAGCATACATTCAGGCGCCCGGTATTAGCAGTCGCGCCTAAACAGCAACACTGAATGTCTAACTTGACCGGGCTATAATCTGAGGTTTAAATTTTTTCTTTAATAATTTCAGGATTAAAAAATGTTGTTTCAAAAATTGATCACCGTAGAGGTTACGCGCAAAGTAAAAATTAATAATAATAATGAAATTATTTTGACACTTAAACTTTTGCTAAGTGTTTGGTCGAGTTTCTCCTCCAATTTGTGGTGTGTGTACTGATCAGAGATCGAAAATAACCGTCACCAAGTGTCTTGTATGGTGTTTACCACTGACACAAACACTCATCTCTCAAGCAAAGAGTGTTTCTCTCCGTTGTGGGTTATTTATCAACTGCTAAAACTTCCCTTAGGCAAATACACTTTGGCAGGGACCTTTATTTTTAAGTGTCTTAATTTGTGGGTTGTTGTAAGACTGAAAAAGAATAAGGGCCGTTTGCACCATGTCTAGTTAACGCTAACTGGAGGTACATCCTTCAGTTAAGCACGTTAACTGCTTTATCGATCACATGTTATATGATGGGTGTCGATAACGTCGATAAAGATGTTTAACTGGGAGTTAGAATTAACTAGACATGGTGCAAACGGCCCTTAGTGGGCGTACATAAGTGGAAGCAAAGCGTTAGGCATTTCTTTACACGACATATACGTACACATACATGTGCGAACATTTATGACAAAGAAGAGAGCGTGCACATTAATAATATGATACACTGAAAATAATCCCGAAAAATTCTTGAAAATTCCGATTTAGTCCCCAGCATACCGAAAATCCCAAAGTAGTCTCGAAAACCCCGAAATAGTCCAAAATTCCCGAAAATTCCGTAATAGTCTCGAAGATTCCGAAAATCCCGAAGAAGTCTCGAAAATTCCGAATTAGTCGCAAGGATCCCGAAAATCTCAAAGTAGTCTCGAAACCCCCGAAATAGTCCAAAAATTCCAAAGTAGTCCCGAAGATTCCCAAATATTAATTATTCCCAAAAATCCCGAATATTTGCGTAGAACTGGAAGTTGGAAGATACTTGCATATCTTATTTGCGTTGCATAACAAAAGTATTACTTAGATGAAAAATTATAAATGAAATTGATTCGCTCTACAAATCAAATCAAAAATTTCTATTTCTTATTTGGTTGACAGATCAAATCACTAATAAATTTCATTTTTTATTTGGTCAACAAACCAAATCACAAATCAAATATATTTCTTAATTGATAGCGGATTTTAAATCAATAAGGATTTAATATCACGCAACCCTGCAAACACTGAACATTCGAAATTTCGTAATCGGCTCGCGGCGTTATCTTAACCCAACCTAACCTGTACTTCTTTGAGCTATGAAATAGTTGGTACCATTACGTATGAGTAACATTATTTCCTGCTAATTTTTCATACAAAAAATCTTTGCGCATTTTCATTTGACCACTCAAGATATACCACTCAAGATTAAGTGGAACCACTTTGTTTCTTTTAGCTGAATAACGGTAAATTGCAAATATCTCGAAAACTTATACATATAGGGTATTCACAGTTTACTTCTAAAGTTAAAAGGTGGTAACTTTAACAAGATAACACACTCGAACTGTGAGCAACCCTTACGTTTAAATAAAGTATTAAGTTGATCAACAATACCACGCATTGCTAGACCGTTTGCCTTTCACGCGTTTGTGTTTAGAGAGCATCAACAAACCACATACATATTTCCCTCTATTCTCTCTTCTCTTTTTTATACTCAGCTAGCACAGCGCAAAAAAAAAAGAACCTTTGCCAGCTTCAGGCAGGCGCAAAGCGAGACTTATGTACAAGCAGCGCTGCGCCCAAAGCGAAATTCACGTATGTATGTACCAGCAGCGATAGATGCCAGTTTAACACAAAACATAAACATGAGACAAAGTCGAGTAATTTTACCCAAAAGTGTTATCTCAAATTAGTATGGGAACCAACAACAAACAAAGTTACCACATGGTAAAATGTTTTAAAGTTACCAGGTGGCAAAATTAACACAGTAGATAATATAGAACTGTGAGCACCCTAATAGAAAAAACAATAATAATACATAGGAATTGGATAGGGGCATTCGTGGAGCAAAAAAAACACCGTGTTATCAAATAACCTGAGCAGGGACAAGTAGTTTTGTTGGCAGTTGGTTTAGTACATCTTAAAATACCGTTCGCAAAAGCAAAAAAAAACGGCTTTATTGTTTGGATCGTATAATACTGTTTTTAATCCTAAAATGATTTAAAACGGGAGGACTACTAATGGGTAAGCAGTTTGTGTGGAAATGGTCCATGTAGTATAATCAAAACTAATATATAATTCTGAATTTCATAATATTTAGATATGCACGATTACTAACATACTACTTACAATATAGTATATATTAGACTATCCTCCTCCCTACGGCTAAAAAGCACAAATACGGAGAGTATGCATATCACAATTTGCAAAAATTTTTCCCATATATTCTTGGGACAGTCTAGTATATGTATGTATATTTACATACATATGTATGTATGTATGTAAATATAATGTTATACACTTTTTCAGATTTGTACCAAATAACAATGGCATATGCTTACTGGAAGTCTGGTAAAACTGAGGACCAAGCAGTATTTGATTTGTTTTTTCGCACGAATCCGTTTCATGGAGAGTTTACCATTTTTGCTGGATTGGAGGAATGCCTAAAATTTTTAGACAGCTTTCACTATTCAGATAGCGGTAAGTTGTATACAATGTATATATCGTTACCTTAATATAGAAAGGCCCTAACTCATTTTCTTTCGGAATCCAGCTTTATTTAGAAGTCGGCTGATTACTTCTTAACCTTCTAATAGAATTAAAAACAATTCTAGCAAAATTAAATTACATACAACCTTTAATAAAAAAAGCGTTTGAAATAAATTCGCAACTAAAAAAGTGTACTTTTGATTAGCTTTTAAAACTACTATGTGAAGAAATAAAAATATTAGATAGGGCCCTTCTATATTAAGGTAACGATATGTATTTTCTTTGCTATTGCATAAATGAGAAATTATTTTCCGTATTATTTCTCTCTCAGATATTGAATACCTCAGGCAAACATTACCCGAGGGAGTAGAGAATGACTTTTTTAACTACTTAGCTAGTTTAACAGCAAAAGATGTTACTTTATATGCCATTGATGAGGGCACAGTAGCATTCCCCAGGTAAATTTTTTTTTAATTATCATTTTTATCTGAATGCAGCTGATATAAATTAAGTGTGGAATGAAAATGTAGAGTCGTAAGATAAAGCAAGATTTGTTAAAAGGTAATTTTGAATTCAAATCACATATGTATGTATGTATGTATATAGAGGCCATTTTAAGAAGTGATTAACTTATAAATATGCAAAGATTGACTAAAAAGCCAAATTTGATTATAACATTTTAAAAGCATACTCACTCCTTACCAAGGCGAGTTCATAAAAGCGGTAGTTCCAAAACAAAAACATACATTTATTTTGATTTTGCTTTCGGTAAATAAAGGTCAAATTGCAGCTATTCTTCACTCAAGGAAAGGGACAGAAAATTTCCAAACCCTCAATTTCTCACTCACTCATCATTTGTTTACTGAGGCAAATCAAATCAGCTGTTCTAGCAACACCACCTTATATAAATTCGCCTTGCTCTTAACATTCACAAAGTTGAAGTGTCGTTTATTTCGAAATATGATTTTAATGATCAAAATCGACTTTTACTTTGTTTACAATAATGGACCAATAATCCAAAAAGTACTTTGCTTTTGCTATAAATTGTCATGATATAAAAATACGAGTATTTTTCTTGGGAGCTGCAAACTGGTTAAACAAATTGTGCTAGAAGAAAATTTCTTTTCCATTTCTTGTGCGTCATTTTATATACATTTCGTTTTTCTTGAGAGCTGTCCTAAACTATGACTAGTATTTTAAGATTTTTATTTTACGGTACATTTTAGCTGATATAATTCAGATTAAGTCTTCTTCATCATATTTGCGATCTGATCGAAACCTGTTGTCATAGCCTTTATGGTTATAGTTACGAATCAATTTCAAGTTCATAGGTTTACTTTTTCATCTTCTTCTAAGCAATATTCATAGATGGAATTTTCCACTACAAACAAAAACAAAGCTTTTGCTAACGAAATGAAATTTTTGCTGCTAAAATTATTATAATTGTAAAAGTATTCCAAAAACTAATGCGGCATAAATATGCGTACATATATAATATTAATTTTCTGTACATATAACAGACCCAAGAGATTTTGAAACTTTTACTCGAAAATGCGGCTTTTAAATATATATATGCTGGAGGATACACCTCTGTACAAAAAGTCAAAGCTATATCTCTAAAATTACGAGATTTGTTAACATTATTAGATCAGTTCTGTAAGCATTTTCTATGCAAATTTAAACAGCTTTTTGTGTCTCCTTAAAATTTCAATCTAGTCAAAAAGATCTTTCGCGTTGATGGTGACGATGTCATCAGCCTTAAAGGCGCTTATCTTTTAAACGCTGAATAAGACGTATGTACTTGCAAATAACAAGTATACGTAAATTCATATTTATGGGCTTATACAAGTGCGGAAATTTTAGTAACAGCATATAAGTATTTGCCATACCATGTATTTTATATTTTTATCGACATATGTATGTATGCATTTACATATGTTTGTTGATGTTTTGTATTTTATGACATAGAGTACCTATTATCAAAGTGGAAGGCCCGTTGATAATTGTGCAGTTACTAGAGACAACTTTGTTGACGTTGGTAAATTATGCCAGGTATTGTATTTATTTATATATTTGCCTTACAAGTTACATACTGTACAAATATATTTAATCGTGCGCTATTTAATTTCAGTTTAATGGCAACGAATGCGGCACGTTATCGCATGGTGGCAGGCAAACATGTTAAACTGTTGGAATTCGGCTTACGACGCGCTCAAGGACCCGATGGTGGGCTATCAGCTTCAAAATATTCCTACACAGGTAATTTCGTAGAAATGTAATAAACAAATATGAGATCGAAGGTTAATACATAGACCACGGATAGTGTTTAGGATTTATTTTTGCCTCCAAATGTTTTGCATCGAAATGGTTCGAAAGTGAAAATTTGTTGGCAACTTTTTACATATTAAAGCATCGCATGCTTATTGCTTATAATCAATTAAAAATACTATTCTGTGGATTCGCCATCTATGCGAGTGCCTCATTGATTTAAATGCTCAAACCATTTGCTCTGTGTAAAAGTTTTTTTGCCAGCTACTTTATGATGTGTTTGCATGCAATCACTTTAATGTGTTACTCTTTGACAGGGCATGAGTCAGACATGAAGTAACACTTTCTTATGCATACACTATACAAAGGATAGTTATACATATTGTACGTACATATATACTTTCATATACATTTATACAGAGGTATCATGATTTCATGCATACATAAGGATGTAATTTTATGTATAGTATATACATATGCATATACATGCATGCATACATATGCATGTAAGAACGGAGTGTGTGTGAACAATTATTGTTTTAGAACAATGCTCAAGGCAATAAAAAGCGAAAAGTGTCTGGGGATTTCCTTCAAAAACATTTATGTATGCGCGTGGAAATGGTATTTGTTAAGGTAAGGTTGTTAGGTGTATTCATGTACCATTCCGTGCCAACCCATTCTTTTAGGCCTGACGTAAACAAGCCGAGAAGGATTAGCTTGCACAATAATACCAGAAATTCAAATGCTATTGCAACACTTTTACGCTGAGGCAACTGTTAATTTTGAAGCGAAAATTTTCACACAAAAACACACATTCCTTAATGAAGAAATGCGGTGCACATATGTATGTATGTATATTCCTTTACTTATGTACTTTAAGTGAAAAGTTAAGCGTTTTTGTGCTGAAACTAATATTTTTGATAAGAATGCGCAAGGTAGTTTGAATGCGTAGAATTAATTATAATAGATTGGCGCTTACACCACACGTTAGTGTTTGACCGAGCTTTTCCTCCGGTTTGTGGCGTGCGCCTGAATGTTGTCACACAAAAGGGCAGGTCCTACAGTTTTACGCCGACTCCAAACGGCGATTGTATTTTTATGAGAAGCTGTTTTTCATAGCTGAAATACACTCGGAGGGTTGCCTTTGCCTGCCGAGGGGCAACCGCTATTAGAAAAACCCTTTTTTTTTTACCAGATCGTTGAATTTATAGCAGTAAATGGTGAACAAATTAAACATAAATTTTCAGATCATTGACAGCTGTTGGGAACCTTAAAGTGTCCAAAATAACGGTAAGGAAAGTCTAAAAGGAAGTACTATACTTCTTCTGCCTAAAATAAGAAACCAACCCTGAATTGATGGATGTAACTGGATTTCCATACCATGGATTAGGCCTTGCCTGTATTTAAATTGTGCGCCTCATCGTATCTTAATTTCATATTTTTCATCCAAAGAACATAATCCAGAAAAACAAAATGAATATGAACGGAATCGAAGAAATTAAGTGTACTTGAAGCTAACCTTTTCTGCTATAAATATTTTCCAGGATTTCATAGTTCGTATAATATACGCCTTTGTAAAGTCAAACCTTAACCTTTTTCGAAATCGTTTGCTTTCGTAACTGATCTAAATCTACGTCTTCAAACAGTGTTGGCACTAATCGATACATTTTTTAATCAATTAGTTAATTCGATTAAATTCAATCCGATTACAGTTAATCATGATCAATTTTAATCTGATTAAATAGTTAATCGTAACCGCGATTAAAAAAATAAATTTTTAATCATTAACCCTTAATTTGATTAAGTCGGTTTGGTGTTTAATTAATTTATGATGGAATTTTCCTGTGCACACAAGGCCAGTTAATCGGGTATGGCAAAGTCGGTTTTCCTAAGACGTTTAACAAACTAGGTTTTAATATCCTTCTGCACATGTGCGCTGGGTTGTAAAAGTTCCCAGTTCATATATTACTAATAACAATAATTATATTTTTTTATATTATGTGCTTTTTATAAGCGTAAAACAAAAAATAATTACTATAACTGGTTTTTGGTTTGAAATTCGTATTTTCCATTAATTGGATTAACGATTAAAAAAATTTAATCATTAATCGTACAGTTGATTACGATTAATTAATTTTAATCGTCAATCCCGATTAACGTTTTAATCGTTAATCAGATTAACATTTTCCCAACACTGGTGGAAAGTCACCATCGATCCCATAACTGAAAAACAATTTATTCAATGTCAAATTGGTTTTTTTGAATTTTTCCGCCAAACTTTAAAGTTTATCACAAAGGTGTAGATCATGCTGAAATTTGCACTTTATTGTACTAGAAATTAATGGGGTACAAATTCTAAAAATTATTAATAAAAAGTTTGCTATTGTTGTGAAATTTTTTAATTTTTTCTACAAAGTTCGAAAAGTGGATTTATATGGTATTATATAGTTAACAATACATAATAAAAAAAATAATAAACATTACTAAAAGAAAAGAAAGATTGTCAAAATTGGTGAAAATGTCGTGTCGCTATTTTTTCACGTTACTGTATGTATGTATATGCACTTTAGATATCGTTTTGTATCAACGACTTATAAATTTATACTCCTTCTGTGCATTGAAAAATGAAAAAAAAATCGTAAAAGTGCAGTATTTCGAAACAAAAACAGCAGTTTCCATTTTGGGAACCGAAAAAAAGGATAATACTGCAAAACATAGTATAGATACGAGCATTAGGTTCGCAAAAGCAAACAAAAATAAAAAGGAGTTGGTGGTTTATTATTAATATACACACTTGTATGTTATCCTGTTTTTCAAAAATAATAATAATAAAATATGCTGGGACTTTATCAGACTGAGAATATTTAAACTTTTTTTATGCTTTCTCAATAAACGTTAATATTTGTAATCAAGGTGGTTTCGATGGTACCTCCAATGTGCTGGCAGGAAAACTTTTCAACATACCAGTCAAGGGCACTCATGCGCACGCTTACATAACTTCATTTTCTGGTATTGGCGAGTTAAAGACACGTTTGTTACGGCATAAGACGACAGGTATGTTTAAGTGCCGAGTTTGTAATTAGTAAACACGGCCAGTTTTTAAAATATGGGCAAATATGTTTGAACACACAGGCATTACCGGTGACCTACTGGATCATGCAGTGCGACATCGTCAGGCGTTGGCAAATGTACTCGATGTGTCACAAGAAGAGTCGAGCGAAGGCGAGTTGGCCGCCATGGTGTCCTATGCAATAGCGTTTCCCGATGGATTTATGGCGCTAGTCGATACGTATGATGTTAAGAGGTATTTCGCTTCTAGGCAGATTCTCTCGGAACGACAATTTTTTCCTAATTTTGTTGTTTATCTATATTTAATTGATAATATTTTGTACTTTAGTTTTGTAAGATACTATCTCGAGTGTGTCACATATACTCACTCAAAAAAAAAAACAGCAATTCATTCATTATAAGTTGCACGCGTGCATTCATATATGCACTCTTAAAACACTTCATACATACGTATGCATGTATGTATATGTACATGGCTATGTACATACATACATACTTTCATATGTGTTTGACGTAATTTTGTTTTGTCCCGCTATGTATGTATTTCTGTGTGTAGCTTAATTAGTTTGCAACAAACGAATGCAAATATAACCAAATGTATTTAACAGCAAAGTTCAACCTACGAAATCAAATAGTGAAGACAGCGCAAAAGATTACAAAACGCCAAACAAATTAACTAAATTAAATGGCCAAAATCTTCAGGCGGCGGCTAATGGATATGGTGCTTCTAAGAACTTTCAAGTCAAAAAAGAAAGTCAAAATACTACTACGATTCGAAGATCATTTGCTGAGGCAAGTTCACCATTGAGTTCAAGCCGTAAAGCTAACGTCACCATTCGAAACAAAACTTCCCAACAACCACCGATTGAGTGTCATATTTCTATGTTGAACCAATCTTTATCTTCATCACCTCCAAACGCGTATCTGTCAAAATATGTCGAGAAGTCATTCAGGTAAATCATTTTAGGTTTATTAAACACTACAAGATTTTTTAAAAATGTACATACATATGTAGCTAAGAGTGAAAAGTTGCTATGCCCACTTATGAAAAAAAATATACATATTAATGTAGGAAACAAGATACATAAATGTATGTAGCTAAGAGTGAAAAGTTGCTATGCCCACATATGAAAAAAAAACTTCTTAATGTAGGAAACAAGTTAAAATGCATCGTTTCCTGAAAGAAACTAATTTATATATACATATGTATATAGTACTCGATTAAATTTAGTGATACCTTAATTTGCTAAGTTCCATGTAGAAAAAAAAATTTGGTAACTCAAAGAAATATATACAGACTCGTCATTAAAGTAGTCCATTCCGATTCGTATGGAGTTTTATTTTGACGTAACTTTGGGACATCCAGATAATTATTGTTCAAGCAAATGTCTAAGTGTTGTTTTCTCATGTAGGTTTTAAAATTTATCTGCCCATCAAACAAATTTTTTCAGAACAAAATTTGCGTATAAAGGGCAGACAAAAACAATTTAAAACCTACTTGAGAAAACGGCCCTAAAAAAATACACTTGGAAAGGTAAAGTTTTGACAAATACTTGAAAAACAGACTCCGGGAAAAGCCGGGCAGAGTGTCCAGATTGCGCGATTTGGCACCAATTCGGCGGTCTTATTTTGGATATTTGCGCGTAAAAATTTCGGAAATCGTCTTTGCGATTTTTCCCCCTTCAAGTAAATTTTTTTGTGCGCTTCATTTAAATTCGTCCAAGCGCGTGATAATTAAGTTATGGAATTAGAGCTTTAATTTCGATGTGGCAACACTTTTTATTGTTATCGATTTTGTTGTGGCATATCGAAAATTTGCCAATATTAAACCACCATTTACGACAACTCCCGCTGGGATGAGCATCTGAAGACCTGCAACCTCGCCTCTGGTGTGAGCAAGCTTTGGTCAACCGTGAGGTCGTTGTCCAACCCGACGAAGCGCGACGGCAGAGTCGAGATAGACTTTGGTGACCACGCTTCGTCGGACCCGGAGAGATGCGCGGGCTATTTCAGCCGGCAGTTCATTCTGCATCCTCCGGTGGATAAAGCCAAACGTCGAGTGACCAGAAGGTTGCACAAAATGCCAAAACCTAGTGCGCCTCTTGTTTTCACCAACGGTGAGGTAAGGGTAGCCATCGGGAAGGCGAAAGCCTCCAAAGCCATTGGACCCGACGGAATATGCATGTTGATGCTGAAAAATTTGGGTCCTGCGGGAGTAGCGTACCTAACGGAGGTCCTCAACCTGTCTATGGCCACTCTCGTCATTCCAGATATCTGGAAAATGGGGAGAGTGGTCCCACTGCTCAAACCGGGGAAACCAGCCAACAAAGGAGAGTCTTATCGCCCGATAGCGAAGACACTTGAGGCCCTGCTGCTCCCGTACTTCACGAACCACCTGACCCCAGCGAAGCATCAACATGGGTTCCGTAAAGTGCAAAGTACAACAACAGCACTTAACGCCATAAACACTCAGATAACTCGTGGCCTAAACCGAAACCGCCCCTGTGAGAGAACTATTCTAGTAGCGTTGGACCTGTCCAAGGCGTTCGACACTGTCAGTCATTCAACGCTACTAGAAGATATAGAGGCCTCCTCACTCCCACAGGGACTCAAACGGTGGTCGGCGAATTACCTGAGTGGTCGACACTCGTCAGTAATCTTCAGAGACAAAACCAGCAAGCCACGTAAAATTAAACAGGGGGTACCACAGGGTGGTGTCCTGTCCCCGCTACTGTTTAATTATTACATATCAAAGCTTCCTCAGCCACCAGATGGTGTTAATATAGTGTCATATGCTGACGATTGTTCGATCATGGCGTCTGGGAATGGAATTGATGACTTGTGCTCAAAAGTAAACGGTTACCTCTCCGAACTTTCTCGCTTCTTCACTGCAAGGAGCCTAGCCCTATCCCCTGCGAAATCCTCGGCAACCCTTTTCACCACCTGGACGAAGGAGGTCAGACTGCCACTGGGTATTCACGTCGATGGCGTAACAATACCGACGGTGAATAACCCGAAAATCCTCGGAGTTACCTTCGACAGTCTGCTCTCCTTCTCGGCGCATACAACCGCAATTGTCAACAAAGTACAGAGCCGCAACAATGTCCTCAAGTCGCTGGCCGGCAGCACTTGGGGCAAAGATAAAGAAACGTTGTTGGCAACATACAAGGCAATTGGCCGGCCGGTTCTGAACTACGCAGCGCCCGTATGGTCGCCGGGGACTAGCAAGACGCAGTGGATGAAGCTGCAGACCTGCCAAAACACGGCATTACGTACCGCGACAGGATGCCTCCTGATGACGCCTCTACATCACCTTCATGACGAGGCCCAGATGCTCCCGGTAAAGGAGCATAACTTAATGCTTTGCAAGCAGTTCCTCGCTGGGAGCTACAGACGTGGCCATCCCCGCGGGCAACTGCTCGCGGAAGAGCCCTCGCCACGGCACGTCAGGAGGCATCTTTACGAACTGACAGACGAAGTCCAGAGGTATATTAAACAACCTCTGGACCCGACAACCTACCGACAGGCCCTCAACGACATTCACAGGGAATCAGTCTCAAGTTATGTAGACTCCCGCCCTGTGAATGCCGTTCTAGGCACACAACCACCGGACGTGGACGGGACAGAACTTTGTCTGCCTCGGGAGACCCGCACAACAATAGCCCAACTTCGCTCTGGCTATTGCAGCAGGCTCAACAGCTACCTGAGCAGAATCAACGAGGATGTGCCCAACCAATGCCGGGCATGTGGAGAGTCGCCACATGACTCCCGGCACCTCTTCACATGCCCTGAGAATCCCACACTGAGAAATTTTCGTTTTGAAATTTGTATAGAACATTTTACTTTTAAAAACGTTTTGACCCAGGTTTTGCACCTACAATATTTGTTTTAGTTATGAGAATGGAAATTTTTGATATCAGGTTTCAAACTTTTTATTTTAGTTTTCGACACGCACATTTTCGGGACACTTTCTAAAACCTTCGCTTGATATTTCACAGTGAGCGTACTCAAATTGAATTCCAAAATAGTCGTTTGATATTTTAAAATGTGAATTTTTAAAATGATTTTTAAAACGCTCGATTGTTTTATGACAATAAACATATTCAAGTGAGATTCTAACATGTTCGTTTGAAGTTTAAAAATAAGTATTTTTTTTAATGTTATTTTGATAACTTTTACAAAACTCGCTTTTTGAAATCAAATCCTAAAAGTTCTTTAATACATGGAAGTATACAATTATCAGGTATGTTTTCGATGTAAGTATGTACTACTTTTTTTTGTAAAAAAGTTGAAAACAGATATTAGTTTATAATTTATAATTTTATTTTTTCAAAGATGTATGTACATATGCATTTAACATTAAATACTAAACAATTAACACAAATTAAATAGGTTTATATTTAAGATAAGATTTTCCATTGTTAATGTAAAAAATTTCCATTGGTTTTGAAGTGAATTTATTTATATTAAACACCTCCAATGTATCTTCTTTTATATGTTTTAATTCGTAAGATACAAAATGTTCATCGAACGAGCTCTCTCTCAGTTTACTACATATGACTAAAACTTCATTTTCGCACAGTATGAAAAAAATTATTTTAAAAAAGGTAATAACATGTTTTTCTAAGATTCCTAAGTAGTTTTTTTGTTTGTATTTCGTATTTTTATAAACTATAGTATGAGCCAATAACACGGTTTTTAAATTAAGGTTATATAAAACATGGGCTAAAATTCGATGCAGATAATGGTTAGTTATATCCGTTATTTTGAACTCGTCTGGATCAAAAGGTTTGGGTAAACCCTTAGAATGCTGAACTAGACATGACGCAAATTTATATGCACTTTTAATAGAAATTGTTTTTTCTATATTTAGGCGCGACGTAATAGAGTGAGTATATATTTTCATTTCCTTATGCTTAGCCTCATAACGCATTGCCCACATAAATTTCAACGGCCCACATTGTCTAATAGCTCTTGGATAATGCACCATAAAATGATGCTTAGGTTTTAAGTCCCCGTACAAATCAATATATATTGTATGATGGCTTTCTATTAAGGTGGTCAAAGTGTGTATGTCTTCTTCTTCAAACTGGGCATGAATCACGTAACTTTAAAACGATAGTCGTCCAAACGATACTGACAAAACTGTCACTGTCACTGTTACGTGAAGCAAAACTAGAATCGAGTTGACAATATCGCACAAACGATCAAACAATTTTTGGTTTTCGTGAAGCAACACAATCTCGACACGATATCGTTCAGACGATTGTCGTCATACGTGATTCATGCCCTGATCAACTAATAAGAGATCAACTATTTTTGACAGCACAATGACGAGATCCCAAAATCTATTTCCTGGTGGAATGAGATCACCAATCATTAGTGGTAAATACGTGGCGAAGCAAATCATTTCACTGGCCGTCATTTTTAATTTATTTTTTTGAAGACATCCGATTGTGATATTAGCTGACATATTGGATAATTCCATTTCTCCATAAGGGAAAAGTCGTTTTTTGGAATTGATTGTTTCTAGGGTTAATACCTTTTCTTTGATTAGGGACAACAGAACTTGGCATATATCGTATGAACAGACGCCCTCAAACAAGTCGTGCATTATGTCGAAAGAAATATTTTCAACGAAATGAAAGGATTGCAGCGAATTAAACATACATTTTGATTTTATGCCAGTCAAAATACTAATTTCTTTACAATCTCGATCATAATTATCGACAGTGCGTATATTCCTTTCTATTTTACTTTTCTTGGTTTCATGTTTAGTCTGCCTACAACATCTACAAAATCTATTTGAGCTAAAGGATTGTACCATACCCAAGACAGAATTGACAGCAAGATTATCACCGACTACTAAGCCTAAGACAAATGAAACCTTCTTTGAATTGATAACAATACCAGCTTCTAGAATTTTGAACTGTTCAACTAAATTTCTTAAACA